ACTAAATTAACTGATTTAGGATTGTGAAGACCCAAAAACAAATATATATATAGACTCGACTAATCTGTCCATTCGGAGTAATCCTAATTAAAGAGAATTAATCCGTATTTGACAATCTCTTTAACCGTCTTGTCAATGTAAAACAAACTATACGTTCAAACTGTTAACACTATTGTTGCAGCAGCGGGTGGGCATTTATTTATGGATTTGGATCTTCTCCACTACAAAAAAGTAGTGGAGAGACCAATACTTTTAATCTCAAGCGTTGTTTATTTAGTAGGCGGTTATGATACAATCTAAATCTAACACTTACCATACCCTCGTGTATTGCACTCATTCAATCTAAATCTAACACTTACCATACCCTCGTGTATTGCACTCATTCCTAATTTGTACTAAAAGAAAAAATCATAACCATCAACTCGTGTATTGCACTCATTCCTAATTTGTACTAAAAGAAAAAATCATAACCATCAACTAGATAATCAATGTATGTGATTATGTAGTGGTCCCTCCACTATTTTTTTTGTAGTAGAGAGGATCTGAATCCTATCTCCGGTGCGCATTACTACTAACATCATCACCATCCAGGGCCGACCCAAGCTTTTTTGAGGCCCTGTGCGAAATGATAAAATGAGGCCCTCTTCTATATAAATGTTGAACTATAAATTTATTGAATTATATTTATTGGTGTGTTTCCTAGTTAATAGGGAATAGTTAATTGGGAATTAATGAGTTCAAATTGAATTTCCTAAACTTTAGGAGACAAATGAGCAACTAATCATAATTGTAGTACTAATTGGTGTATATTTCCGGTAAAATGTAAATCAGATGGGTCATGGGTGTTAGGCAGTTAGGCTTAGGCAATGGATATAAATTATTATTTAATTTAGTGGGCTAGTATTAGATTATTAGGCCCTTTTTTAAACAAACAAAAGACTTAATTTAGTGGGCTAGTATTAGATTATTAGGCCCTTTTTTAAACAAACAAAAGACTTATTGGAAAGAATTTAAGAAATATACTATGGGTATTTTTAAAAATTTGGGGCCCCCTTTGAAATGGGGCCCTGTGCGGTCGCCCCCTACCCCCCCTCTTGGGCCGGGCCTGTCACCATCGTGTAGCGCTAGTGCTTTCATCATTGGTGCCATGACAGTCATTAATAATCACCATTATTTGGCTCCTTCATGCTTATTTTTGTTGTACAGCTATATTTGCCAAGTTCATGTCACCCAAAATTAAAGTCATGGTCAAAACTATTTTTAATATAAACAAGTATTCCTAATATAAACTTCTCTCACAATAAAGCGGGGTGTTAAATTAGTATACTTATTGTCACAAGGCACAGGGCTTGGGGCTATTTTAAAATTCATCTTCTTATGGATTTGGATCATTTTCTGTTTATGTCAGAAAGCTAATTGTATTAGTGGGAGGATATTTGGAGGAGTTTAGGGTCCCTTCATCCTCTCTGATGGCAAATTAATCTGGGAAAAGCAGATCCCTGCATAGGTAACACACGTTAGAGGATCAAAGGAGATTTCTCCCGACAATGCCCTCCCACGTTCAAGCCAATAATAGACGAAAAAAATTCTTAGAAACGCATAATCTAGTTCAGGGTTTTTTTTCTTCAGTGTACTTTGGTATAGTGGGGTTATCCATTATTATAGAGAATTCATGGGGTCACTTTAATTGATAATTCGACATGGCCGATGGAGTCGGCAATTAGACTCCACTTTACATGTGTTAGCAACCAGTTGAGTGAGTCAACATTGCATTTAATGCGACAGTAATATAATGACAGAAGTGCATGCAATGTTTGAGGATTCATTATGACTTTGGCTCAAGAAGTCATTATGACTTTGGCCATGCATTTGTTGCAATGGAGACTAAGCGACAAAGTATGGGCACAAACTGACCATGCATTAAAAGCGAATGACGTTGATGAGACTTATAGGTCATTCCATTTCTCGAGACACTTCCGTACATGGGTCGTCTAAAAGATGTCTTTCTTCACAGACTCAAGTTTCTTTAATAGATCCTGATTTGAAGACATATTTTTTCACGGACTTGGGTTGTTAAAGAGATTGGCGGTGTTCACACCCGTGTCGGACTTTCAGATTTATATGACTCGGTCCACTAATATGACACGTTGCCAACTCTCTAGGATTCATTAGACTTGGTAATTCTTAGAATACAACACTCTCCACTATAAAAAAGTTGTGGACATATCAATACTTTTAATTGCAACCGTTGATTATCTAATAGGTGATTGATGTATGCTGAATCTAATACCGATCGTACCTCTGTGCATTACACTCATTCCTAATTTACACTAAAAAAACATAACCATCAATTAAATAATTAAATAGCTATAATTAAGTAGTTTTCCCTCCGTTACTTTTTTGAAAGGGAAGAGGATGATGTTTATTAGTAATAAAAAGGAAAATTCTAGAGAAATAAAGTTATACCATCTATACACTATAAAAACTAACCGCTAACTTTTTAAAAATATAATTTTAGCTAGAAACATTAAGATGTTCTAGATTAATAAAATCTTAGACCCGCAAGGTTAGCCTAGCGGTGTAAGGCCTCGCTCCTATTGAGCGACAATCCATAGCGTGCTAGTTCTGTATTCAAATTCCATAACAGGTAAAAAATCATTGGGCCAGCGCTAGCCACGAAGCGCGGGCGGAGATTAATCTCATCCATAGTAAGGTGTGGAGACACCTCGTAGGAAATTAAAAAGAAAAAAATTAAAATCTTAATTTACGCACACTCGCAAACAAATGCATATGTGACAATAGTCTTATTATATTTTCTATATTTAATAATGTTTTCTCGTCATCTTGTCTTGATTACACAAAGAATACACCTTTGGGATCTCACAACAGTGACGCTCACATGTAAAGAGGAGAAGGATATTTTCAAAAATATCTCATGACCAATACATGATCATATGAGGTGGGGAATCAAGCTGGTGTTGTGCCGTCGACTGCAAGTAAACATATTCATTTTTGTCCCATTTCGCATAAAAGGATATGCTCTCGTTCTTTACTATATCAAATAAATAATAAATAAATAAAGTAAAAGGGGAGCATATACATTTCATATGCTTCTTTCTTCATAAAGAGCACGGGGCGTTGACTGTTGCACAATTTGGTATCCGTTCAATTTTCTTTTCCCCCCTTATTTCGCTGCAATTTTCCTCTTGACCAAATTTCTCATTATTTTCTGTTCTTTTACTTAAAAAAGGTAAGTATAAATTAAGGGGAAGAACATACAGTGCGTCATGTGCAAAAGAAATCCCTCCATTATAAGTAGCTTAGAATATGATTCCAACAAGAGAATAAAGTTCATTTGAAACTATTAAATCTAGGGCATATATTTCACATGTCAGAAATCAAATAAAAAAAGCAGCAAAATGTCATAATCAATCCAGCAAAGCGTCTACTTTGGTCAATTAATCCACACTTAAAAAAAAAAAGACAAAGCTGAAAAAGACATGCAATGAGGCAGGCCATGCATTTCATGGGATACTTGCTAATCTGTTAATTATTTAATCATTATTATTAGAGCTTTGCTACAGTGACCCAAAATATGGGACCAATAGGGAGGGCAAGTGAGGTGTCCCATTCCTATTTGATAATGAGTTGGATGATGGCCAACTCATTATCAAATAGGAGGGGGACACCTCACTTGTCCCCCATATTGGTCCCATATTTTGAGTCATTGAGGAATTTTTCTTATTATTATATGCAAACCTACCGTTAAGAAAAGATATTTCTCCGAAGGGGTTTGTCGGTCCATTTAAATCTTTGGCAGCTTGAAGTTAGTCCCTTAAATCGTTAAAATTGCTATTATGTTCTCCAACTCTTGAGTTACTTTAAAATGAGTCTCTCAAGTCATTGCCTTTAGGTCTCCCTGAAAATAGCGATTCGAGGAAAATTAGTCGCTCATAATCATAAAAATTGCTGATAGATCCCCAAATTATCATAAGTCGTTTCAAATTAATCTCTCTTATCCCTACTTTTACTCTTGGACGGAGGAGGGATCAAAACGAATTAAGAATTAGGGAACCGGGTAACAATCTCAATGAATTGAGGGACTAATTTCGTAATCACTAAAGAATCTAGGGACCTGACAGCAATTTCCTTGATTTTATGGATTGATGGCGCAATATGAAAGATTAAAGCACTAACAAGGGAAAAACATCCTCCGAAACGTCAGGACCTCGCCGCCAGCAGACGTGAAATCCAAAAAAAAGTTGAAGGGTCAAAATTCATCAAAATTGGCGAAGACTCAAAGCCAGCTGTCTTTCTCCACCCTCCGAGTCACGTGCCGGCCGGTCGGCGTCACGCGAGGCGAAGGTGCGCTTGACGAAGCGTTAATCCCACGCCACTCATCCGCAGACTCCCACACCCACCGACGGATCCCAGCCGTCCGATCAAATCCCCACCCTCCGGCCCCACTAGCCTACCAATCAGATCTCGACACGTGGTGGGGAAGGGGGAATCGTGCATTCTATGCTGTTTTTGATGCGCACTAAAAGCGGGAACGCAATTCTCACTTCAGTTTCGATCCCTATAAATAACCTTCAGCTTGGTAACTCATTTTTGTACTTTTTTTTTTTGGCAATCCGAGAGCTGCGTCCATTCTCGTCTCAGGTGCGTTTTCGAGTTTTATTTTGCCTTTGTTTTTTCGTTGGGGCTCGATATGTGTTTGATCTGAGATTGTGAGATTCAGGCGGTTTTTGCTCCGATTTCTGATAAATTTCGTGATTTTTTGGGGGGAGATTGGGGGGCTTTGGTGTAATTTTTAGGGTTAGATGGTAGATCCACGAGTTCTGCTTCCGATCTGATGGATCTTGAGACCGATCATCACATTTTCCAGCGATTTCATCAGCTTTTCGCTAGTCGAGTTCTCTAAAGACTTGGTTTGTGTTTGTTTTCTGCTTTTTTACCAGTGGCAATGTCGATATTTCCGAGTCAATTGTGGGTCCCACTTTAGGTCCATTCAGATGGCCACCGGGGAATCTTGCAATATGCGTTGTTTATGCTTTCCGTTGAAAGCGCCATTTGCGTTGAAGAGAAAGCGGGAACTCAAGTCCCACTTCGGTTTCTCTCTCTCTAGATCCCTGTATATATATCCCCTGCAGTTGATTTCTCAAGCATCAAGTGCTCACTTTTGGGTATTTTTTTTACTGTTCTTCGATTCTTGCCTAAGGTGCGCCTTTTAGTGCGATTTTCGTTGTTCTTAGGGTTTTGATTTGTTTTTGATCTGTGATTGTGAGATTTATTTAGGAGTTAGGGCAATATCTGGGAAGAATGGGGTTGTTTGGGTGTTAATTTTTTGGTCTAGATCGTTGATCTAAGGGTGTATGATTCTGATCTGTTATCGTTTATGGTCGATCACCACATTTTGAAGCGATTTCATCAGATTGATTTTTGCGGTGATTTCAGATTGAGCTCTCTATGGACTTTTGCTTGGTTGTGGGTGTTTTAATCGGTACCTTTTTCTTGTTGAAATGTAAATGTTTATTAATATTATATATTCTTTGTTGATAAATTCTACTGGAAGTTGTAAGAGAAGCTCATGTAGACCTGGCGATGGATATCGTGTTTGTTTTATCGCGATGAATCCAGTCATCTTTCATGTTTCTAGTCATAGATTCTTTATTGATTTTCACGAAATTTGGACAAAAATCAAAACCGATTCTCCTTGTGGAGCTTTCTTTTTTATGGCTACAAGAAATCCTGAAATATGCTTAACTTGTATTCATTATATATGTATACATGCAGTTATTTTGCAGCAGGATGGTAGGATTTCTTGTGACGTATTTGATTAAGTTTGATGACTTTGAATTAATATCTCAGAATTCACTGAATATATTATGCTGTATCCGTCGGATATTGTCACAAGTACTGTAAACTAAATTATACTACTACTATTTGAATACAAAGTGATTGGCTAGGTTGATGATATTGACCTGATTTTCTATTTAGGTTTTGCACTTATGACACATACTTTACTCGATTGATTTCCAAATGATGACCTGGCACAGGCTATGCTATCATGTAATCCGGTAGTTTTGGATTCAGAAAAATCTCAGCACAATAACATAAAGGAACAGAGAGGAAGTTTGCTACCTACACCCTCCTGGCCAATACGCAATAGATCCTAAGATTAATAGTTTATAGTTGGAAAATTGGTGTTTTCTATTCCACCAATAAAAATTATATTGGCTTCAAGCATGGATCTGACAGTGGCATCATAATCCTCTTCGGGAATGATGTTTGTGGCACAACTGTTGAAAGCTTTGTTATGCAGCTCACTTTTTGTTTCCATTTAGGCTATAAGCGGACAGCTAGGACTGATATGATAATGCTGGAAATTTCTTATTCTTACAGCTTGAAGATGTCTCCCCCTAGTGATGAGTCAAACAAACCCGATTCTCGCCAGCCACATCCACCCCTTAATGAAAGAATACTTTCATCCATGTCTAGAAGGTCTGTGGCAGCACACCCCTGGCACGATCTTGAGATAGGTACTTTTTTTTCTCTCCCTTTCCATCCTTTGACTTTTTAATCTGTTTATTTCTTTTTTCAGTTGTAAATTGTACCTTCCAATATCAGATTATAGGGTGACATGAAGCCTACTGCTTCCCCCTTTTATTGTTTTCTTATATTGTTATTTAATTATTAATGCAGGTCCTGGAGCACCCCTCATTTTCAATTGTGTAAGGAACCAAAATCTTTATTTTTATACAAGTTGCTGTAACTAATTTTGTTGAACCTTTTTATATGGTTATTTGGCTTGATATGAATATGATATTGCATGTCCAAATGAAAGTGTTACACATCTTCTATGATACCTGAATTCACATTTGAATATGCAAATAAAATTGTTAAAATATCTACATAACTGTGCATTCTACAGGATAACTATTTGTATCTTAGTATCATTTATATGTATATGCTGACTCATTGTTTTTTGAGTAATAACAGTATAAAAAAACATAATTGTCTATACTATTTTTGTGGTGTCGACCAAGATCGATTTTTAATATCAGCTTGCAGCAAATTTAGGTAAAAATGAAATTTACTATTGTGCTTATATGTTCATATTCACATCAATTTATAAGAAAATCAGATGAAAGAATTCGTGTCATATTGTTTACTTGCTGAATAACAATGGCTCTGACTTAAGATCACTTCAAACTTCAGAGTGAATTAAACTTTTTATGCTGAGAAACTGTGATTTTGCAAAATGCACCATTATTTTCACCCCAGGATGTATGAGATTTTCAACATTTTTTTAGAATTGGTGTCTGTGTTTTTCTAAGTTCTCCCATATTCTAACTCTACTAAGCATCACTACTTTTCCACTCCCCCATTTTCTTTTATTTTTCTGGCAGTCTATCATGCGCCAGTGAGTGCCTCAGATGTCAACTGACTGTTTCCAACAGAAGTCAGGATCCGTTTTTCTTTGTTCTTTGCAATTTGAGTGATCATAACAATAATTCTTATCATGCTCTGGTCATGTCAGAATAAGCTGAACAAAGTAACATTTGCAAATACCTTCTATAATACCTGTAGGTGGTGGAAATTGGAAGAGGAAGCAAGGTCAAATATGAACTTGACAAGAAGACTGGGCTTATAAAGGTACACTTAGAAACTCTTTTTGATGTTGATTTAAATCTGTTTGAGCAGTTTACATAGTCGCTGTGTATATGTCTGTAGGTGGATCGGGTGCTTTACTCATCAGTGGTGTACCCCCACAATTATGGTTTCATCCCACGCACTCTTTGCGAGGATAGTGATCCTATGGATGTGTTAGTTCTCATGCAGGTGTCCAACTATTTAACATTCTGATGCAGTTTCCTTTTATTGATGAGAAATTATGCACTCACAAAATAGGCTCAGCTGGCGTCAGATCATCTCTTCTTATTTGCAAATCTTTGATTTCAATTAGGACTTGTATAATGGTTCTCTCTGTTGTTAATTTTAACAGGAGCCAATTCTGCCTGGATGTTTTCTTCGCGCTAAAGCTATAGGTCTCATGCCTATGATTGATCAGGTATCTTTTCCCCCTGCTATTATGAGAAATTATAATGCTGATTTTCCCCCATCGAAAGTGGAAGATTTTTGCTGTAATGCCTATAAAGGATTTTTTGCTTGGGCAAAGGTTTTATTCTGCTTATTGTTGGTGTAGGGTGAGAAAGACGATAAGATTATTGCTGTCTGTGCGGATGATCCTGAATATAGGCACTTCACTGATATCAAGGAACTCCCACCTCATCGTTTAGCTGAAATTAGGCGCTTTTTTGAAGACTGTATCCTTATATGAGCAAGCATTTAGACTGTATTTTCATGCTTACGAAGCGTAATTTTTTATTTATGTTTTTATTTTTTGACAGTTCCAGATATGCTAAAAGCAAAGCAATATTAACAGTCAGTTTCACAAGAATTGATTTTGATACCTAGGATTTTCACCGTATGCTTAATTGTTTCTATACCCTTCTATTACAAGGTCCTCAAACAGCCAGACCATATCTTTGCGTTTGACAATCATTGTCTTCTTACATAAAATTGGTTTGGATAATTCAGCCTTTGGAATCTTGATAACTGGTCAGACTTAGATCTCTAATTTAGTTCTTGACCTTTCAGCTTTTTTGTAGTAAATTGTTACCCCAAGGTTGCATATTTATTGTAAGCTATTTGGGCTTTTCAGTGTCTTTATTCTGCTTGTCCTTAAGTGCTCGAACTTAGATAAGAAAAATGAAAACAAGGAGGTTGCCGTGAATGATTTCTTACCTGCTGCTTCAGCTTATGAAGTTAGATAAGAAAAATGAAAACAAGGAGGTTGCCGTGAATGATTTCTTACCTGCTGCTTCAGCTTATGAAGCTATACAACACTCCAGGAGGTTGCCGTGAATGATTTCTTACCTGCTGCTTCAGCTTATGAAGCTATACAACACTCCATGTAAGTGATCCTTTCTTTTTGCATAACTTCTGTAGATTGTATGGGTAATACCATGTTTCTCTTTTAAAGCATTTACACTCACACGTTGCTCCCACTAGTTCGATCATGGCCCTTGGCCCAGAACATGTTTATTGAAAAGCCTTGTTGTTGAGATTCTGCATGTTTATTTCCTTAACGTGTTTGGTAACCGGAAAGTAAGGGTCTGTTTGGTTATTTTCTTGCAATAGTAGGAAATAATTTCCGGGCTTAGAGATGCATTTCCATGAGTTCCTAAGTATTTCCCAGAATATGATTTTTTTTGTTTGTTTCACCCTTAAAACCTGGAGAAAAATTGTTTGTTTTAGATATATAATCCACTGTTTGTTGGTAACCAAAAAATAGGTAACCATAAGCGATGAAAGCTAAACAATAGCTCTCCACCCAATTTTTTATTGCCCAAATACTATCTTTCCACCCATTTCCAAGCTAAAAGGTCAGAATTGGGTTTCCTCAAAATCACAACGAATGATGACATTTTAACCCAAACATCACTTTCAAAGCTTAGCCAAACTAAGTAATAGGAAAGCTTCTAGGAAAATCTGAGCATTTTCTTGATGTATTAGGGGTTTCCGTGGTTTTTGGTGTTTCCAGCTTGAAGCAAACAACCCCTAAATGGAAAGTTAATCAAAAATTGGAAACTGGCTTCACTTTCCTTTTTTATTTTCTTGTTTGGTACATGGAAAGTGGTTAGAAAGTGTTGGTTGCCATGTCAGCTTTTTAGCCTCTTTCACTTTCTCATTTTTTTTGAGAAAGTGGATGAAATATGAACTTTTGAGGAGAGAATATATTTTATATGTTCCTTTTTTTTCCTTTCCTTTTTTGTTCTTATCACCATCTTCCGGCAGCCAAGCGCAAGGCTTTACCCTTTCTTCTGGTATCCACATAAGCATATGAAAGTACTGAAAAAAGTTTATAAAACTTCCTTCTAAAGATTCCTAATTTCATTCAAAACAATTAAACTATTCTATAAAACATTCAGAAAATATTATCTTTTATTCCTTCTATTTTATTTGTTTATTAAGCTAAGATTAATCCTTCTTTACCTTTATCTCTTTCCTAGGTAATTCTATAATAGAGTTTTCATCATCTACATTGATTATGACATTAGGCTGGAGTTGTATTCTTTGCGCTATTATCTTTCCTAGACTCGTTATTCTTTTATCTTCTTGTTTAACTTCACAAAGAAGTCTAATGTATTTCTAATATTCAACACAAATTTCTTGAAATGCAGACTTTGATTTTTTTTCTATTTCAATGAGAATAAATTTAAATTTCCTATATATATATAATTATTTGTGTTCCTAATTTATTACCTAAATACCTCTACAATGAATTCTTCTAATAAGAATTTCTATTATATTAATAATGTTACATTTGCTCTATCCTTGTTATTTTTACAAAGATCTGAACTAAATACCTGTATTTTTCATTACAAATTTGCCTTAGATTATAGTATTAATATTTAATTTCTTTAGTATTTGAAGAACAAAGTATGAAATTTATGAATACTTACTATTTTTTTGTATCTTTCATGAAGAATTCTTCTTTGATTGAGATAAAGTTGTTAAATTATTTTTCAATGGAACTCAGTTGGTGCTTTTTTATTTATTTCTGTCACTTTCTCATTTGCAATGGAAATAGCTTGATTCTTTTGAATGATATCTCTGAACATTCTGATAATTTCTCCATATGTAATTCCTTGCATTATTATACCCTATAAATATTATTAACATCGGAGATTAATGTTTCTAAATTATAATCAATCGATGCTAAGCTATTATATTATAGTCTTTTATCATTTTTATGAATTTAAACATCTATCAATTAATGTTACTAATGTATTTTTGCTGCTCTAACTTATTAGTAAAATTATATGCAGTTACTTCGATTTATATAGTGACAATAATTTTAAAGCTATCATATATTTTTAAAATTTTTATTCCTTCTTTGCTTTACCAGCATCAACTTAGATTACATTTAGATCCCGAAAAGTGATAGTAAACCCTAAAATTGTAGATTAATTTTTGAAAAACTCAAATATCAGCGATTTGCCAATAATTTCCAGATGTAATGTGTACTTGTTATAAATTTTGATATTTTAGAGTTTTTTGCTATTTTTAAAATTTAAAGAAGTTTTTTGTTGTAATTTTTGTAACTTTAAGGTTAATTTTGGTAGATTTTAAATTTTTAGGTGCTTGAAGGTAGTATCTTTAATTCATCTTTTTTTGTTTGTAAATTTTAAAATTTTAGAATTTATGGTGGTTTTTTTATAATTTGAACTTTTAATGGTGTTTTTATAATTTTTGAGATATTGAGGTGTTAATTGAAAAAAATTTAAATTCTTCAGAGGCTGCTGTTAATTTCTTAATCTTATATTTGTTGTTCTAAGTTTAAAATGTTAAAAATTTTCAGGTGCATTATGGTAATCCCTTGAATTTATTTATGTTGTTTGAAAGTTTTATAATTTTAGAATTTTAGGGTTTTTATTTGTAATTTAAATTCTGCAAATTTTAAATTCTTCGTAGATTGTTGTTAATTTCTTGATTAATGTTTGTTGTTTTAAGTTTTGAAACGTCAGGATGTTTTTTATAATTTTAAACTTTTCAGGGTATTTTGTGTAATTTTAAATCTTTTTTAGGTTTTTATAATATTTTATGTATTATAGTATATTAGCTACGTATAATTTCTTTATCTTAACAAACTAATACCATAAAGTTATTTTATATATTTTATTAATATTTTTTTTAAATTGTTGAGCTATAGCTAGTTCACGTAGGATTAAGATATGATATAATTATAATTAGGTTAGATTAAGATATTAATAAAATATTTAAAATAGTGAGGGTGATATTGACCATGAAAAGATTTTTTCCCAAACTCGTGCTTTTAAAGGGAGTATGATATGATTTGGCTATATCTGCTGGAGGAAATCATGGGGTTGTAGAGATTGCTGGGTAATTTTAGTGAAAAGTGAAAAAATGCTTGCATATCCCTTTGATTACCTATCATATAACAGTAGTATGATGAATAAAGATTGATTATTCAAAAAGATGTTGTGGAATGATTCAAAATAATTATCAGGAAACATTAAATTTGCCTTCTCACAAGTCTCAATGGCTAGTCTTAATAAATTAAGAAATACAAAATAAATTTTATATTTTATAAAATATAAAAAATTGGATGTCCACTTCAGCTGCCACCTCAACTTTTCACATTTCAACTTTCAGCTTGCCAAACAAAATTTTCTAGTAGAAAGTGAAACGAAAATACTTTCTTAAGAAGGCACTTTCTCTTCACTTCGTACTTTCTATTTACTTTCCGGTTGCCAAACGTGCAGCCTAGATAGTTTAGCATGCTGGAACATGATCTTCCACTTGTTCACTGGCAGTAATGTCAAATATTGTATTATATCATGTTGTCTGCTATTTCCATTTTCTTGTAGATAGATGAACTGTGCATTCCCTACCTTTAGTCTCTTCTTTTCTATTTCTCAGTGATTTCCTTCTATTTGTCAAGCTGACTGTTATCGCTGTTTTTTTTTTCATAATCAGGGACCTCTATGCAACCTACATAGTGGAGAGCCTGAGGAGGTAGGATAATGACGAGAAAGCTGAAGCGGTTGAGTTCTCAGGTGCTTTTATGTGGTATTTTGTGTGCTCGTATTTGATTGAGTGTATGGTTATTATATACAAAGTCAACAGTATTACTAGCTCGTTTGGCTTTTGCAAACAGTGCTTTGTTACCTCACAATATAGTCCTCTAATCAAGTGGATATAGTAAAATATGCCTCGCTCTTCGCTCGTATTTTAATTCCAATACTTGTCTTGGCTTCTCAGCTACGCTAGAGTGTATTATTGCCGACTCAACATTAATATATGTAGCAAAAGGGTGTTAACACTGTACCTTGATTCTTGACTTGCTAACTCTCTCTATAGGCTTTTCAAAAGTTGTACATCGTTAAACTTTATTTTATGTGAAAAAAGTGGGAGAAAGGCTTTTAGGTAGACTCCACAACAAGCTCATGGATTTGAAAAAGATGAGAGCAGAACTGAAAGTGAGCTGAAAAGGAGAGGCTATAAAGGACATATGCAAAGTATATGCCGGGCATATGCAAAGTATATGCCATCCCAATTCTAAAGCTGAATCATATGCCCTGTGCCCTGTATCAACAACTATATAGCCCCCTTAAGTCTCTTCATCCATTCATGTTCTCTCTGAAATCTCTACTTATGGATTTCACCTGATCATCGGCTGTAATGGCCGGGCAATGGAGGAGGTGAATCCGGTTATATGATGTAGGGCAACCATGAACCTTTGGCAGTTGTAGCTCCTTACTCGGAGCAAAGGGGTGTTATAAATTCTCTACCATGTGGGGGGTCATCTTTGATGTTTCTTTTATCTAGTTTTTACTTATTTTGATGAATAGGCAAAGTTTGCATGTTTGCTTTGCTTAATGTACCGCCCTATGAGGGATGCGGGTTTATGAAAATCTGCATATGTGTATGATATACCTTGGTGTATTGGAGGGTATTATGTTGAAATGAGAGCGAGTTGGGCGTTAATCATGTTAAGATACGAAACAAGATCTTTGTAGCCCTTTTGTGGTTTGCTTGTATGATTTGCTTTCACTGTGGAAAAAGTTTTGCTTGGAAAAAGGAAAAAAGTATGGTTTCACACACTAGGTTTTCAACAAAGGATATGGCTGGAGATTACAATCTACAAAAGACAGGCTTCATTTATAATTTTAGTTGTTTTAGTTGTAATTATTAACTGCTAGCTTCCGTCGCTAGTACTGAATTATACAGAAGATTTAACCGATCGTGCTGATATTATGAGATGGGTGAATTTCCTGCGGCAGTAGATTTTTCGATCTTAAATTTTCTTCCCCAATGGTGAAAATTAGAAAGAAAAGAGAACGTACGAAAAGAGAAACATGTCTCCATGATAACAAAACATGTCGACATAAATAAGAGGTGGATACGATGTTATCCTCCACTCTTTGTTTCTTGTTAACAAACATCATCACTTAAAAGTTGAAGAAATACGCTCAGAAAGGAATACACGGAGGCAGTTGTGATTTTTTCAGGTGGCAAACAAAGGTGGAATAGGTACTGTCTAAGTTACTTGATGCGTGCGCATGAATGCAGATCCTATCAGAATGCGGTGGGGGCAGGTTGTCTTTCTTATCGTGCCTGTGAATGGCTTATACCACTCTGCTGGGATACATGCGTTAAGGGGTTGGTCGTGATTGTGTTGGTACACTTTTAGAGGAAGATACAAATTTGGCTGAAATTTTTAATTTCCCTTTGCTCGTTGTTATAGCCATATTTTAGTGATGAAAGATAATCTCCAATTAACGGCGGACAAGTGTCCCACGTTACGCGTAATCGAGTCGGCGCTTCGAGATAACGTAAGGCCAAATTCGGTCGACTCGACATTATGCCGACATCTTACGAGGACGACTCGAAAGGCGTTAAGTGTCGACCCCTGGCTGAGTCGACTGCTTAATCACTCCACTCGACCGACTAATCGGCCAACACCTTACGAAGGCGACTTAAAAGACGATACTTCTCGACCACCGGACGAGTAGAAAGGCGACGAAATGCCTCGAGCCTCGAGCTACCTCCCGTGCACTAGCGACTAATAACTTCGCAATAAATGACATTACATGCATTATGGGCGTCATCATTTATCTGCCCCCAATAGTCTTATGACACATCGGACCACGTCGGCAGCGCATACCCCCAATCACTTCGCATTAAATACCAAAGTGACATCTCCTCCACTCGTCGGCCGATACTTGTAAAGGAAAGGCTGACGTGGCCTCCATCCCATACTCAGCCGAAGTTACCATTCTACCATCACTATAAATAGGGGTACTATTTTTTACAATAGGGTAAGATCTTTACCTCTATCTACTGTGGTTAAGAGCTACTATAGTTCGTTTTACTTCTCCACTCAAGCAAATCACTAACTTGACCGTCGGAGGAACAACCGGGGAACCCAACCTAACCATGCCCTCTTACAATTTGCTACTTGTGCAGGGAGGGGCAATTTACTCCATAACCAGACATTCGGAGGGTTAGAGGGCTTCCGTCAACTTAATCACTCCTTTTATTTGACTCTTTGATATCAGACATCAACACTCGTGTCTACTTCTCATAACCGAATGTCATTTATTTTCTCATAAGAAGATATAATGTGATTATATTTTATTGTTGGATTCAATGTGGGTTGTTGATTTCAATCTGGTTCATTCAGACTAATCTTTCACTAGACAATGAAAATTTAGTTACATATTTGAGTTGCCTTTAACTATTCACCCATTTGAATAAAAAGGAAAAAAAGAATATTGATATATTGTGATCTTTTCCAAGATTATATTCATTAACAAATTTTACCATCTGCTCACACACATGTTCTTTCACTAAGTTAAACTATAAGTGTTCAGGTGTAAGAGATACTTAATAGTTAATAGATAAGCGTCACCAAGCATTAGCTCCTGTATTAGAAAATGGATGAATATAATAACTCAGTCTTCCACTTTGTCCTCTCTTCATGATGTACAGTCTCATCTATTTTCTCTCATTAATAAATTGTCTGAACTATTTTCCCATTTCACTCCACCCTAAAAAAGGAGGAGAGGCAAAAGCATATGCTTAGATCTCACTCGAACATAAAGGACATAGGATATGCTAAGGCATATGCAACCATCTCATTAGTTTGCACCTATAAAAGTTGACCAGCACGCATTAAAGAAGGCCTCTTTGCTTCTCCTCAGGAGCTTTTGAGGTCCTCTTCTTTCATGGAGGCCTTCGCTTCTATCCATCTCTAGGTCCTTGAATTGCCATTCACGACGGCGACGGTGACGATGGAGGAGATGCTTCTATCTTATTTTGCAGGGCAATTAAGGATCTTTGGCAGTCTGCAAGTATCAATCTAGTAAAGTTTAGTAGTTGTGTTTCTGATTATGCAAACGCAATGTGTATGATCAGTTTGAGTTAGTTATACGTATGGGTTTGCTAAGTGACGTATAGAGATCTTTTATTATTAATTATTTGTTCGATTTTCTCATGCTTTTGTCTTTTATTCGGTTTATTTTGTTAATGTTTGATGATTGTTATCCTGTGTGAAATGTTCATAGTAGTTGTTCTCTCTTCCTATTCGTGGAAAATGCGCCGAGCATATTTTCTTTCTCTATCACAGTATCACGTAATCTTGAAGATCAAAACATTCAGAAACAGGATGCTTATGGTTTATTTATTTTTTTTGATCAATTTAGCATCATATATAACATTTGGTAACGAAGTCTTCGATATTTCAAAAAAGAAGATAAAAAGCTTTTTCGATTCATCCTGCAAGAATGCAATCATATATCTATCAGGAACATGAACATATCCTTAAGAAACTAGTACACGAAACATATAGATAAAGAAAATTCATCTGGACCTTGTGCCTTTGATGAGCAGCTGATCTAAATCCTCGCTGCAGTTTAGGTCCAGAAAACACCCGAGTTAAGCTCTTCGACTTCAGTTCAACTTCCATTTCTTCTGATTTTGGCTGCACCAATTTAACCAAAGCATTCCTTGGTATAAAAGGATATGAGACACTAACATCACAAGGCATGTCAAATGAAATAGAAATGCTCACTGCGCAGTATCTGATACGGGATTTATTTGTTGCTCTTCCTCCTCCAAGACTCTTAAGCACTTGTATTCTTGATCTGAATAGTCTTCGTATCGACGAAACACTGCCATCATAGTAGTTCAAATAATTCATTCCTTCTACCGAAAACGCTTAATTGGATATGAAAGAATAATGATATACCACTACGGCGAAATATTGCATATCTATGATGATAATAATTTATCAGTGAAATCCTTATTCGACCAGCTGTTCATAAAAGCTCCACCACAATATTAGATGAAAAGTGAAATATAATCCTACATTCAGTGTCTTCCACTAGCAATTTTATCTTTCTTGTGGACAATTATTGTGTAGGACTATTCATATACTTGCTCATGTCTGGAAACAACAATTCCCTATGAACATAAAGTTCCTTTTAAAAATCAAAATATCATATAATAAAGTAAAATTTGAAAGGAACTGGGACAATAGTTTGTTAGGATACACGTCAACAAGAACGCCTCCAACAGAGACGCAATACACACCCAAAAGAACGTGGAATCACAGAATAAAATCAGCAGACACAAATCCAATCACAATACTCATAGATATAACGTGGTTCACTCTTACAGAGCTACTCCACGGTGCAACAACGACGCTCAATTCCTTTATATTCCTTTCCGATGTTACAAAAAAAAGATCAAAGAAAAACCCTCTCTTGATCAAGATACTCTCCAAAAATTCTCACAAACTCTCTCTATGTTTTCTCTCTCACTCTTCTATATGAGGAGTTGTTTCTGGGATGATTTTTTTCTGAAGAGTTTTGGGCCTATTTATAGTGGTTGGAAAAAATTATACACTAATTTTATATTATATATTTTTTCTCTGTGGTGGGCCCGCCACCTTTTTTTCAAACTCTTCCTAACTCTGCCAAAAAATCGGTGCCTAACACACGCCCCTTTCAACACCTAACACACGTCCCTTTCAACAATCTCCCACTTGAAAATTTGATTGAGTATCAATCATATCTTCACTTGTGCCTGTTTATCACCGGAAAATACTCAGGTGGTGGATTAGTTGTCTTTCATATAAGAAACTAGGGTTTTTATGCATATCAACCCAAAGTTTTACTCCCATTTACCAGAAAACCCACCAAGTTTTATATGTTTCAGTAAACCAATTGTACAATGTTTGTTTGCCTTTAAACCCAAAATATAAAACACAAAGTGTGTAGCTATGAACAATAGGTACGCAGCTATACATCTTATATGTAGCT